GAAGTTGTAATATGAATGGTCGAAGTTCAGGACATACTATTTTTTTTTTTTTTTTTTTGGTTTTTCGAGACAGGGTTTCTCTGTGGCTTTGGAGGCTGTCCTGGAACTAGCTCTTGTAGACCAGGCTGGCCTCGAACTTACAGAGATCCGCCTGCCTCTGCTTCCCGAGTGCTGGGATTAAAGGCGTGCGCCACCAACGCCCGGCCAGGACATACTATTTTAAAAACAGACATGCCTAAAAATTGTTCTGAGTTTGGAATGGATCTGTACTTGTGTAGTTTTTTACAGCCCCAAGCACTCTGTCATAGTTCTTCCTTGGCTCAAGGAAAAGGGGCTGGAACCCTGCTTCCTGCCAGATTGCTCCAGGCCACTTCTAGCCAGCCAGCTTGGTGGCTCCTGGCCTCTGGTTCTTGTTGGAGACTGCTTGCCTCGGTCTGGCTCCTCTCCCAGAATTCCCATGCAGCCTGGATTTGTCCTTGCAGCTCAGCTTGGATAAAGCTGTCCAGTAGTCCCTGTCCTCACCTCTGCTTATCCTTGGGAGGTGGACTGCCTTCCTGGCCCGTCTGTAAGCATTCTCTGTATCAATGCTGTTTGCCACACACCTCTTCCTCGAAGGCTACCCTGCTGCCACGAGACAGTGACGGGTGTGCTGATTTCAGAGACGTGTGGGTCTGCTTGTGATCACTGTCTTCAAGAGAAGAATAACCCAGCTGGTTCTAGGGAGGTGATGAGACCTGTGGAGCTGCCCCAGACAAACAGTCTACACCAGGACTTTATAAAGTTATGAAGAATGGTGCGTTATTGTTCGTTTACATCACTGAGCTTCGGGTGTTCTGTTGAGAGGCAATAGCTGACTGATGCGTGGACACAAAGCAGCACCCAGACAGATCCCATCCTGTCCCTGACCTAGACCTAGACCTAGAAAGGAATTACTGTGAATTTTCATTAGCATGCCCATTGTTGGGTCAGCAATATCGGCCTGTCTAGCACTGGGGAGAGGGTGGGGGGGGTTGTAGGGAGCAGATGGAGTCTAGGGAGCAATCTGCAACTCTCATCCATAACTCCATGATCTCTCTCCTACTTCACAGAGCTGGGGGTGAAGGAGACAGGATGAGATTTAGAGACATCTCCCATCCTAGGGACAGTGGGCAATGCCAGGTCACATGTCCCCGCTAATGGCACAGCATTGGAATTTTCTTGTCTCTGGAACTCTAGGCCTCTCTGTTGTGTCACAGAGCCAGTGCTCTCCACAGTCTTTCCCACTGCCCTGACACTTTCTTTTTTGTCAGCTCTTTGGAGCTCTTCTTTCAAGCTCATGTGACTTTCTCTCTAGGAAGTCATGATCTGGAGCGGGCTCCAGCCTTGGTGAGCTGACACCCAGAACTGGTAGTGCTTCTCATATGTTTAAGGTGTGAGGGTTTTATCTTTAGCCAGTGTATAAGATTCTCTGGAAAGAAAAACAAATGGGATGGATGGGGCCCATACAGATACATGGAAATGGATACAGAACCAGGGGTATACATTGGGAATTGGCACAGGCAGTTAAAGTTAACGGTTTGTGTTAGCACTATCTCTCATAGGCTCATGTTTTCATGGCTTGGACCCTAGTTGGTAGTTGTATTTTGAAGGCCCTGGGTTTTTTAGGAGGTGAAGCCTGGTTGGTGGAACACGTCACTAGGGGTTGGCCTTTGAAGGTGATACCTACCCCCAACCCTTGCTGAAGCTTCAGCTTCCTCCTCTGCCAGGATGGAGTAGCTGTGTGTGTCCACCACCGTAAATTGCCTCTGTCTAGTCCTCATAAGGATGAACTGAGAAACCCCTGAAGCCGGGAGGCCAAACCAACCATTTCTTCTTAAGGCTGCAAGGTAACTTATAAAGTTATGGAGGCTGAAAAGTCTCCAAATTGTGCCACCTCAGTCTGAGAACCAGGAAGACAATTCAGTACCAGTCAGGACTTCCATTGTCCAAGGGCAAGAGAAGGCAGTGTTTGGGCCTTAAAAGAGAGGAAACTGGTCCTTCTACTTGGGAATGGGGATCAGTGTGACGTGTCAGCTAGACTACATTTGGGGAGCCCTCATTTTTTAAAATAATTTTTGGGGTGCTGGAAACTAACTGAATTTGGATCTCCTGGTATTACCCAATCTTAAGCCATCCCCACTTTTATTTTTTAATTATGTGCAGGTATGATGTGTGTTCTGTGTGAGGTTATGTACATGTGCGTGCAGATCTCCTGGAGGCCACAAAAGCTGGGGGATCCAGACTGCGCCCTAGAAGCTGGGTTGCAGTCATCCAAAGGGACAGCATGCGTGTGCTTAACCTCGGGAGCATCTCCTTAGCCTCTAGGGGGTCCCCATTTTGGAGTGAATGTTTGAGAAAGTTTCCAGAGAGGTACAACGTGGTGAGATCTATTCTAAGTGTGGTTGGTCAGGCTGGGGAGATGGCTCAGTGGTTCAGAGCACCGGCTGTTCTTCCAGAGGACCCAGGTTCAATCCCAGCACCCATATGACAGCTCACAACAACAGTCTGTAACTCCAGTCCCAGGGGATCTGACGCCCACATTCCGACACACATGCAGGCAAAAACACCAATGCACATGAAAATAAAAATAAAAGTGCAGCTGGCATCATCCTATGGATTGGGGTTCTAGACTGAATGAAAAGGGGAACGTGGGAAGCCAGTTGAGAGACAGAATTCCTTTTGTTTCCTGGTCCATGGGGATGTGATCCTGTCCCGTGCTACTGCAGCTCTGAACTATGTCATGCCCTCCCCACCTAAAACACACACGGCTACTGCCTTCTACTTCTGTGCCAGTGTTGGATTCCTTAGGGAAGTGTTGAGAGAATGAGTGAGGGCTTTCTTAGAAGCCTCGTTGCCTTTAGACTGGAGCCAGGACTGTGTCAGCCTGCTGTAATGTGAGATTTGTGTGATCTGGAGTTGACCACGTCCAAGAGGAGAAGGTGTGGGCCACTGCCACTTCCGGGTGGAGTGGAACCCGTGACATCGTTGACTATCATGACAAAAACAACTTAAGGAAGGGAGCATTTGTTTTTGCCACACCCCCTGTAATACAAGTGCTATTGGTAAACTGTCACGTGCTGTTTGCTCTTGTTGAGAGCTGACCCTGAAAGACAGACTCCCCCCTTTGTCTCAGATTCGAACAGGCTTATCTCACTTGTCCTAGGAGACACTTTCCTGGGGCAGGCTGGTTTCATGCTTCTCTGACAGGGAGAAAGGAGAACACACAGCTATAGAGGGTGATCCATTTCTAACTGTTACTACTGTTATTTCTCCTGGGATATAAAATGCCTGTGGCGGGAATGAGGAGTGGGAGGCTCATCAGCGGAGAGAAACCTCTGGTCTAGCTGGAAATAACCCAAACTGAACTCCAGCCTGAAAGACAGACTCTGGCAGGGCTTCCCTGGTCTTTCTGGGGGATGTTGCAGGTGCTGAATTTGATATTATCTATCTGCTGCTTGTTACTTATGTTACTTTTGCTTGCTCTCCCAGTCTGGTGACTATAATTACTTCTGCTGGATGTTGTAAGGGCCTGATTTGGCATGTTGCTATCTATCTATCTCTTGCTATTTGTTCTTTTGCTTTTGCTTGATACACGTTTAATACACTCACAGATCATTTTCTGTACCATTTCTGGCTATTATTTCAGAGGGTTCAGTCAATATGGCAGAGAGGCATGCTCTGCCTATCTCAGTTTACTTCATAGCTGAACAGGAAGCAGAGTGTGACAGGAAGTGGCCAGGGAATGATACACCCGCAAAGACACACCTTCACCGTGTCCTCCACTTAGGTTTTATATCCCAAATATTCAACAGTCTTCCAAATTAGTACTCCCAGTACCAAAACACACAATTCAAAGCATACCACCAGAGAAGTAGCTCGTGAGGTGGCTGCAGATGGAGGGATGCCTGGCGATGGGCAGGAGTCAAGAAGCGTCTGGATTCTGATGTGTCTCAGAAGTGGCTGAATCCGTTTATCATCTTCCCCAAGTTGTCCCTGCCTTTTCTTCTTTGATGCGAATGAAAATGGGTGGATGTGGGGACCTGGGAGCCGGGACAGAAGTGGGAGACAGGGCAAACAGATCCACAGAGGTCCTGAATTCTGCAGGTGCCTGCAGACAGACTTAATTGCTATACACATAGCGCTGAATGAACAGTGACGGGGCCTACAGTCAGGGCTTGGGGTAGAGTCAGAACACTGCCGGTTCACTTGGTGAGGTGAACTAGAGGACTACCATAAACACAGGCTGCGCCAAGGGCTTGGGGAGGAAGTGGGGGTCCAAGAGATTTATTTATTATTTTTCAGACGGGTCCACGGCATAGCTCTGGCTGGCCTGGAACTTGCTCTGTGGATCAGACTGGCTCCAAACACACAGAGATTCACCCGCCTCTACTAAAGGCGTGCGCCGACACGTCCAGCTTACTAGTTTTAAAATATTAAGTGGAATGGGTACCAAGCCCAAAGCCTTGGGTTCGGTCCTCACAGCTAAACAAAAAACAAAAACCAGAACCGTAAAATAAGTGGGATAGAGCAGCAGCTACCCTTGAAAATGTGTTAAACGGTGCATACGCAGTAACACAATAATATTAATATAGCAGCTTAATATATATAAGGAAAAATTGTAATGTGTGCGGTAATTAATACACAGGCAAAATACAGTTGTATACTGTGCATTTTAGCTCATTAAAACGCATCAGCTCATTAGAAAGGCATGGGAAAGAGTAGAATTGGCTAAAATTAAATGAGCTTACGAAACAGCCTCGTGCACGAATTAAGTTCCTGCCATCACAGGCAGCGTTGGGTGAGTTGGGGGGGGACTCGCAATCCGGCTCCTTGAGCCGGCTTCCAGAGCCACTCAGCCTCCGCCCCGCCCCCGGCTCCGCCCCACCACAACCCCGCCCACCAGAGGGGCGGGGCCTAAGAGATTCCCGGCGTGCTGCGCGGGCGGGGCGAGGGGCGGAGCGTGCGCGGAGGCGGCGCGGAGGAGGCGCGGCAGCCGCGGGACGCTTGGCTGGGCCCGGCTGCTGCGGAAGACGGAAAGCGTGGCTGGCGCTCCTGGCGTAGGGCCTGCTGCTCCGGGACGGCGGCGGCGGGGGACGGCGGCGGGATGCGCGTGTGAGATGAGGCCTCGGGCTTCCCGGACGCGAGCAGCGGCCCCCGGGGCAGCGGCCAAGGCCTGCGCGGCCTCCTGGGAGCGCGGCGCGCGGTGCATGAGGGCGAGCGCGCGGGCGCTGGGCAGCTGCCGGCCACGCCGCCTCCGTAAACACTTGTTTAGGACTTGCTCGCCTCGCTGAGGCCGCGGCGCCGGGCATGGAACCCCCGCCCGAGGAGCCCGAGCCCGAGCCGGAGCCCCAGTCCCAGTCCCTTCCGGAGGCCTCGGCCGCCGCTCCGCTGCGCGCCCCAGAGGTGGCGCGGCTCCGCGAGGAGCAGGAAAAGGTAACAGGGCCGCGCTGGGGTTTCGGCTCGCAATCCGGCTTTCCGCCTTCGGCCGCCGCCGGCGCAGCCTCGAACGTGGCCGGCGCCCCGTGTGCGCCGGAGAGTTTCCCCCCCACCCCACCCCTCCCCACGCGCGAGCTGCGCAGCCTCGGGCCTGCAGGGGAGCAAGGGGCAGAAACTTTTGTCACGTGCATTTGTTGTCTTTTTGTCTGGAGCCCCTTGACCTTCGCCAGAAGGGATGCGGGGGGTAGGGGGGACCTGCGGAGGATAGTGTGTTGACCCTGAGCTTGAGAGCAAGGGTTGGGACTAAATAAATGCAGCTTGAGTGCATGGGGACCTCTAGTTTGTGGTGGTGGTGGTGGTGGTTGGGGTTTGTACTGTAAACAGAAGTGGACTCTCCTTTCACCCCCATGGCTCTCTGTTGCTTAAATGTTGCCAAGATGTACACACGTATGCACATGCACATGCGCACACGCGCACGCATACGCACGCGATTCTTTTTCGAATGAGCGTCAAAGTTTGACGACGTTGGTGATGATGCACTTCCTGTGCATTCCCAGCTTTGGGCTTTAGTAGTCGACTAGAGAGAGAGGCCTTTCTGTTAAGTTTTAACTTCCTATAATAAACGAGGCTTTTAAAAATGATGATTATGGTTTTAAATTACCAGAGGAGGGAAGAATGCTTTGCACCTCCGAATGGGATTTTTTTTTTTATGTAAGGAAGTGTGCTCGAGTTAAGAACTACGTCTTGGTTGTTCAATGTGAAAATGTCCTGTGGGTTCTGCAGTTTTTCCAAGTTGATCCCTCTCCTGAAGCGCCTTGAAGTTCTTTGAAAAGCTTAAAATGCCCGATGTTATATTGGAAGAGTATCACGTGTTAGTAAGGTTTAGGAAGTTGCATCAAAACCATCAGAATTTGAGAAGCTCCGTGCTTTCTGTAGTTAAATATTTTTATTTGCAAACTTTTATTTCTAATTTACTCCTTGAGAATTTTGTACATGTGTACAATCAAATCTATTTTTTTCTCACCAACTTATTCCCTCCAACACCATACCCCTTCCAAGTTCATGTCTTTTTTTTTTTTTTGGTTTTTTCGAGGCAGGGTTTCTCTGTATTGTTGTGGAGGCTTTCCTGGAACTCGCTTTGTAGACCAGGATGGCCTCGAACTCACAGAGATCCGCCTGCCTCTGCCTCCTGAGTGCTGGGATTAAAGGCGTGCGCCACCAACGCCTGGCGTCTTTTTTTTTTCTAATAACCCAATGCAGCTAGTGCTTCCCACATGTGTAAGGGTAGGACAGTTTACTGGAGCCTGAGCAACATGCGGGCTACCACAACCTCTATGAGTCATTCTTCCTCCTGTAGCTACTCAGGGGTGGAGCCTCCTGAGCTCCTCCCCATCTAACCTTGAATTTTTGCTGTGAAACCTAAACTTTAAATGAATACACCTACACAAAAAATGTCTACAAAACGTGATTATGAAGGTACACTGAAGTTTACTACACGAAGGTTTTCCTATATCCCAAGAAATCCCTTTTGGCTTAGAAATCACCTGTTAACAAATTGTAGGAGTCTTTCCTACTTTGGTTGGCTTTTTTTTTTTTTTGCCTTAGATTTTCCATTTTTCCCTAATATATAATACAACTGTTGTGTTTTAAACTTGCAGTTCAAGGTGGGAGTTTAAAAGTTAACCCGGTTTAGTGCATTTTAAGTAACAAGACAAACATTTGCCTGCCTATTATTTATGGTTCTAGGTGAGCTGTGTTATTAGCCCACTTTTTAATTTTTGAAATAAGGTCTCTTTAAGTCGCCCAGGCTGTCCTTGAGCTCGCACTATAGCCCAGTATGGACTTAACGCTGTGTGTGATCCTCTTAAACTCAGCATCCCAAGTAGGTGCAGTTAAATGTCTGTGGCATCAGACCTGACTTCATCTTAATTTTTTTAAAATAGAAACAGATTTAAAAAAAAAGAAAATAGATGGAAAGAAAGAAAGAAGCAAGCTCTAAATAAAGCCTTGTTATTTTGACAAAACAGCTTACCTTACTTGTGAAAAACATGAAATGGACCAGGGGTAGATGGTGTTACCACTGCCTTTAGTCCATATGGAAAACACTTTTTCCTTCATGGTGTAAAGCGTAATACTGACAAATAGGTTTCTTCCCATGTACCACCTTTAAAAGGGAATTTCTGGTTCTTATTCTGATGTTAGTGTGAGTGAAATACGAAGGGTACTTTTGGGTGTTCTGAACAGCTTGCTGTTGTGGTTAGTATATTTGAGAGGGTACCTGTGACTGTTAAATCCAGTGGGAGGCTGGATTGTTTCCAGTGGACATGGACCGCAATACCATTGTCAGCCGTGTCTTGTCTTACTATTAATTTGGCATATGAAACAAATGTGCGTATCAGCTTTGGCTATGTAAAATGTCTCCTATTATGAAAAATCATAATAAAGCCCTTCAGTATTTACTTAACAGACTTATTTACTTATTAGAAAAGCCTGTATGGGCGGACAGTAGATTCCCAAGGCCTTAACAAAATGCTCTGGTTAGATAGCTGTGCTTCCATTAGCGTTTAGCACAGGAAGGCTTTGCTTTGTAAATTGTGAATTATTAGTTTTGTGAGGTACTTTGTTTAGGGTTTAAAGCCAACTCAGTTTTAACAGTTCTGCTGTTTCAGGTGTGAAAGTAGAAGCATTTGTCATTCTGAATATAAAGGGAAAAATGCCATAGTTATCTTTGCATGAGTAGATACCTAGTATCCTTTATATCAGTCAAATGTGCTCAAGCTCTTAGCCTTTCCCTGTGTGGGTTCCGTGAGAGGGAATTATACTTTCCACAAAATGACCCTTTTTGCTGTGGTGGTGGTGGTGGTGGTGGTGGTGGTGGTGGTGGTGGTGGTGGTGGTGGTGGTGGTCATGGTGGTGGTATCTACTTTGCTGGCTTTTAGCTGCAGAACTTACCTGAGAACCTTACATACAGGCTTAGGGAGCAGTTCTCCGAACCAGGCTTGATAAGGGCTGTAGGTAACGTTTAAGTGTCGTTGTCCTTGTTTCTTTGAAATCCCACTTAATAGACCAGATTTTATCCTGTTCTTGTTTGACCCTGGTTGATGCTGAGCCACTGAGAAGGAAAAGTTGGCAGCTTTTCCCTTTCTCTTTCTTCATGAGCCAGGATGGCCATGAACTCTTTCCTCCCCAAGTGTGAGTCACTGGGGCTTTTGTTCCTCCCGTCTTCACCTCTAGGGGCTGGGACTGATGGTGTGTGCAGCTAGGGAGTCTTTATTTTTTTAATTTAAACTGTTAGGTTGGCATTCAAAGTCATGATGGGCTTCATTATGGCTTCTTTATCTCCCCCCATCCTTTATTGGTCTGGCAAAAAGGCATGCAAGAAGAGTTTCCGAGGCTTTGTTTAGAATGGGAAAGACCTGAAAGTTGTGTGTCGGAGGACTGTTAAATAAATCATGATGCATGTGTTGGACAGACTTGCAAATTGTAGAACAGTAGGTATGATGTGGGTCCTGTTTGCTTAGGCACTCATATATAAATATTTACTTTATATAAAAATTACTTTAGAAGGACAATGGTAGCATTTTGCCTAAAAGTTTGTAAAATTAGAAGATTTCAGTTTTTCAATAAAGGTGTTGACATTTAATTTTTGTGCAAACAAGGTTGTGATAATATCCTTAATTGCTGACTAGTTTCTAAGCATGAAAAATAAGTATCGATTGGGTTTTGAATACCAGTTGCAAAGGTTTATTTCTCATTCTAGTGTTCCTTTAATTTATTGAAAACATTTCCTGGTTTCTTTGTTTTTATATTTTTCTTTTGTCCTCAAAGATTTTGCTTAATCTTTCTAACAAAAGATAAAAGAGAGAAACTCAGATTGTTTTTTGTTTGTTTGTTTGTTTTATTATTAGTAGTAGTATTGGTTTTTTGAGATAGGGTTTCTTTGTGTAGCCTTGGCTGTCCTGGAACTCACTCTGTAGACCAGGCTGGCCTTGAACTTAAGAGATCCACCTGCCTCTGCCTCTGGAGTGCTGAGATTAAAGGTGTGCGCCACCACCGCCCAGCTTTGTTTTTTTGAGAGAGTCCTAGTATGTAGCCCTGGCTAGCTTTGAATTTGTGGCAATCCTCCTGCCTCAGCCTCCTCTGTGCAGGAATTCCAGGTATGTGCTACCACATCATGTAGATCAGTGTTGTGAGCCACTTGTATAAAGATTTGGTAGAAAGATGAGCAGTCCTAAGGGTTTATGCAGGCAGGATTCATTCCCGTCCTCTCCAGTTTGGTGAGGTATTTTGGGGTTCCTTTACATTGTCGTCCTCCCTCACCCCCATCAGTGACAGCACCGTGATGAGGCATTTCAGACTATTCTGCACAGGTTACAGGTTTCTTGCATGAAAGTCTTGCTTAATCTGCTTCTTTGGAATTGGCATTGTGTTGAAATTTAGGCTTCTTGGTTAAGGTTATATTTCTGGGATAACTGTTTTGTATTTCTAGATAATATTAGGTTTTACTAGTAGAGGTAATGAGATTTACTATCTGAAGGAACTGGGGCACAGTGTTTCCATAAGTTCATTTTCAGGACAGCAGTAAGATTGGGAAGATCAGTAGGTAATTTTTTTTTTTTAAACCACTGAGAGCATGAAGTAATTATAGCTTGGAATTTTGAAGTACCCAATACTCTCCTTATACTAGAGTTTTGGAGAATTAAATGCAGAAGTAAATATTTTAATCTTTCTTAAAGCAGAACATCTACTTTAGTTTAATGGAAGATTTTCATTTTTGTCTTGGTGAATTCCTGTTAGTTTAAGGAACTCAGTCAGCCAGGTAGTCAGTCCAGCAGTTGGAATCCAAGCCATAGGATTCATTCACCTAACACCGGCCCCAAGAGTTGTGCTGAGCTCAGTTTCAGATGCGGTTGCTCTGCTGACGACATGCAGAAGGCACCTTTCTATGTCTGATGGTAGTGATTGATGAGGACAAGCAGAAAAGGGCCGGGAGACAA